GTCCTGTTAGCAGTGTGGTTATGTTAGCAGCATAGTTCTGTTAGCAGTGTGGTTCTGTTGGCAGTCCTGTTAGCAGCATGGTAGGCTACTGTTAGCAGTGTGGTTCCGTTAGCGGCATGTTCCTATTAGAAGAGTGGTTCTGTTGGCAGTGAGGTTCTCTTAGCAACATGGTCCTGTTAGTAGCATTGTACTGTTAGCAGAGTGGTTCTGATGGCAGTGTGTGTGGTTCTGTTAGCAGAGTAGTTCTGTTGGCATTGAGGTTCTCTTTGCAACCTGGTCTCATTAGCAGCATTGTACTGGTAGCAGTGTGGTTCTGTAGCAGTGTGGTTCTTCAGCATGGTACTGGTAACAGTGTGGTTCTTCAGCATAGTCCTATTAGCAGAGTGGTTCTGATGACAGTGTGGTTCTGTTAGCAGCATAGTCCTGTTAGCAGTGTGGCTCTGTAGCAGTGTGGTTCTGTTAGCAGTGTGGTTCTATTAGCAGCATGATACTGTTAGCAGTGTGGTTCTGTTAGCAGCATGGTACTGTTAGCAGTGTGGTTCTGTTTGTCACGTTCGGGTTTTGGATTCAGAATAAGCCAGACACAGGAGTGCAAAAACAAGAACAGTTTTTATTAATTAGGCTGCTGGTAGCTGGAGTCAGGGTCCAAGGCAGGATCGTGGTCCAAAGGGGTCAAACACAGGGAGTCAGAGGTCCAAGAATTAATCCAAAAAGGGTGATCCGTGAATCGTGGTCATAGAGGCAGAGGAGGAGGTCATTATTGTGATCAGAAGGACAGAGCAGAACCAGACGAGGAGCAGGCAAAAGGGTAAATCCACAAAACAAGGCATGAGGTCGAAAATACAAATACAGGGCATGAACATCAAGCATGAACAAGATGGCTGGATATCAGGGACCATCAATCAACCTTTATTTATACAGGTAAATCCCATTGAGCCTCGAGGACTCATTTACAAGAGAGACCTGATTTCAACAAAGAAAGATGACAACAATGGACAACAGCAACAACAATAAGCAGTTATAAAAACTCATACTACAGTTTTTTTTTTTGTTTTGTTTTGTTTTTTTAACAAATAGGATGGCTAAAAGGAAAAAAGTAACAAAACCAAAAAAACAGCTAGATTCCAAGACAAATGTATAAAACTAAAAACAGGAACATGTCAGCATTGGACCCTGCCAGGAGTCCAACAGATTCTTAAAGCCACTTAGAGAGGTCAAGGTCGAGAGCTTCAAATCTTTTTGTAAGATATTCCAGGAAACAGGAGCGGAGTAGGAGAAGGCCCTTTTGCCTAGTTCAGTCCTCACTGAGGGAACACTGCAGGTAATAATGTCCTGAGAGCGCACTCCGTAGCTGCACTCACGCAGAGACATGTAGGAGGAGATGTATGAAGGCAGCAGACCAAGAAGTGATTTAAAGATGAAAATGTACCAGTGAGAGAGTCTGCGTGAAGTTAATGATGTCCAGTTAACCAATGAATACAGGGTGCAGTGATGGGTACGATAATCACAGCCAGTTATGAATCTTAGTGCACCATGATAGACAGCATCCAACATCTGCAGGGTTCTTGTAGGAGCGTTCATGTAAATAATATCACCAAAATCAATTGAGGGAAGGAAAGTCACAGATACAAGGCGTTTTCTAGCATTCAGGGTTAGACAGGATCTGTTTCTGAAAAAGAAACCCAGTTTAATTTTCAGTTTCTTTACCAAGTTTTCCACATGGAGCTTAAAAGAAAGATGTGAGTCGACCAAGATACCCAAATATTTATAGGAATCAACAAACTCAATGGGGACACCATTTGAGGATAAAATCGGAGGAAGAACTGCTGGGACCAACTTCCTATTTGAAAAAAGCATCCCTTTGGTTTTTTCGGCATTTAGGACAAGTTTGAGGTGAAACAAATCAGTCTGGATGATGTTAAATGCAGATTTCAGAAGCTGGAAAGCCTTAGCAACAGTTTTACCTCGACAATAAACAACTGTGTCATCAGCATAGAAATGTATGGATGCATTAGGGATGTTTTTACCTACATTATGTATGTAGATTGTAAAGAGGGTGGGTCCTAAGACTGAGCCTTGTGGTACACCATTGTTGACTGTTAAATAACTGGAGGAAGTACCATTATGTTGAACACATTGCCTCCGGTCTGAAAGATAGTTAGAGAACCAACCAATGGTGTGATCTGAGAAACCGATTTCTGAGAGTTTATGACACAAGATGTTATGATCCACAGTGTCAAAAGCTTTAGACAGGTCTAAGAAAAGTGCAGCACAATAATCTTTAGCATCCAGTGCTTCAACAACGTCATTAAGAACCTTCAGTGAAGCAGTGGTTGTGCTGTGTTGTTTCCTGAAACCAGATTGATGTGGAGGTAAGATGTTAAATGAGTCCAGGTAATTTTTGATTTGAGAGTTTATCAGTTTTTCTAGAACCTTGGCTAAAATGCAGAGTTTAGAGATTGGTCGATAGTTGTTCAGTGAGGTGGGGTCACCTCCCTTCAGCAAAGGAAGAACAAAGGCTGTTTTCCAAGTGTCTGGGATGGAGTTTTGTCTTATGGAGAGATTGAAGATGTGGGTCACAGGGACTGTGATGATATGAGCAGCCAGCCTTAAGAAATAAGGTGGAAGTTCATCTGGACCTGCAGATTTAGACCATGGAAGGTATAATAATCTGGCACTGGACAAGTGAAAGTGGAGCTCTTAAATAAGGCCAAAAACAGGTACTGTGAATCAGGTTGATGAGCTGAAAGTGCAGACGGGGGCGTGGCTTAATGACAGAAGAAAACATGACAAGAAACAGGGAAAAACAGCATATGACAAAGAGGAGCAGAAACATGACATGAGGGGCTGTGAGTGAGGCAGGGGACAGAGGAAGTGATAAAGGCATAAAGGGGCAGAGACTTAAGCAGATGGTGCAAGCAGAGATCGTTGATCATGACACTGTTAGCAGCATGGTAGGCTTGCAGTGTGGTTCTGTTAGCAGCATGGTCCTGTTAGCAGTGTGTTTCTGTTAGCAGTGTGTTTCTGTTAGCAGCATGGTCCTGTTAGCAGTGTGTTTCTGTTAGCAGTATGGTCCTGTTAGCAGTGTGTTTCTTTTAGCAGTGTGTTTCTTTTAGCAGTGTGGTTCTGTTAGCAGTGTGATTCAGGACACATTTTGCTGATGGAGTCAAGCAAACACATGGAAACCTCACTGTGTTTTGTTTCATCTGTTGCAGGCACCGGCCTGAATGTCAGCGATAATGAATCCATCCCTGGAAGCCATGACGGAGGAAGCGTCGCTAACTCCCAAATCGTCGAGCTCAGGCGAATCCCTATCGCTGACACTCACCTCTAACCGTTCTACACTGATGTCCTCGGTTTGTTCTTATCAGAAAGGAAAATTACAAAACAGTATTTTTATATTGTGAAAATAAATCTTTGCACTAAAACAGTTTTTTAAATAGATCTTTTTCATATAGATGTTTGATACTGTATATTGTTTATACTCCACATCTGTTCTCATACAAATGTCATGTATTTTTTTTTTATAAAGTCCTCATGAAGTTTCTGAATGTATATTTTTGTTCTTTTGTTTATATTTTCTGTAGAGATTTAGCCAGAAATCAAATGAGCATGAGCAAAACATCTGCTACGGAGGAAAGAGACTGTGTGACGTTGTCAATAAATAATGTATTGTGTAACTGTGAGTGTGTGTTTGCTTAACTGTCTGTTAGCAAAATATTTCACAAACCAGTGAATGAATTTTAATGAAGTTCTCAGAAAGTAATCGTGGGATGTACGTCTTGAACTGATTACCTTTTGGAGTCAACTCAAAGATAACATGATGGCTGCTAATGCTGGTTCCATGCTGAGTCAGCATTCACACAATAAAAGGATATTGTCTTTGATTTGCTGTTAATTATTTGTCATAATCTCTGCATAAACCTGCTGACCCTGTCCGTGGGGCATATTTTATCACATGCACTGGTTATATAAGTTATCACATACTGTATGTTAAATCATTCTTCCGTGTTGTTCTTTGAAAAGGGTCAAGTTCTAAACCTGACTTATCATGCAAAGAATGATAAGTCATGATGAAAGAACTTCATGGGCACTCCAGATTGGTGTTATTGTGTCTTTCTGTGATAAAGAATGGAGATAATTCTTCACGTGCAGCACGGCTCTCTCCTGTTCACCCCCAGCATGGTGTAACCAAAGATGGTGCTGTACAAGAGGGTCAAGAACAAACCTCGAGGACTCGAACTGATTAAAGAGCTGATGTGTTTCTGCAGAAACAGGATGAGACAACTTTTTATAGAGTAGCTGACAAAAAGTAGCACTTTTTCTTCTAGTTTTTTTTTTTTTAAATAGGAAAGATATACATAGCTTTAGCAAAAGTGTTCTAATTATTTAAATCACCCCCCGGGGAGGAACAGATAAACTACCAGAACAAAGAGCAGAGTTAAAATGATATATTAGATTTTTAAGGACTTGTTTACAATACTCAGGATAGTCAGTATCTTACCTGCAACAGACCGCAGTCAGAATAACCTAAATTTGTTGACTCAGGGAGACATTAAATAGGAGTTACACTAAATACTAAGGGTGTTTTTATGTATCTGTTGGTTTGATAAACTCGTGAGAACATCTCCCTTATGTCCAAACTAAGCTTACATTCACTGCTGCCCACAGCAGGTAAGATATTAACTACCCAGAGTACTGCAAACTTCAATTACACAGTAGTATGTTACACTTAATTTAAAAAAAATGAACATTTCCTTTAAGATCCAACATTTTTCAGTCAGGCCATCTGGACAGTTTATTTTTTGGTGCTGAAACGTTTCGCCTTCGATCCGGTTGGCTTCCTTTGCTATCTGTTTATATGAATACAAGAGTCTGTATCTCTCTATTAATCTCTCGATAAATACCCTATATCCTCAAAGGGAGGGGGTGCTGAAATGTGAGGCAAATTGCCTGCAGAAAAAAACATAAATACATAAACAACAAAACAAAATACAGGTTGTGCAGTTTTATAAGCAACATGTTTATAATAAGCAGCCCTTATCACAAACTGTACTGTTTTTACATTCAGTAACATTTACCAAGTTTATCCTGATGCATGCTCAATAATCCAGGTAGAAAAATCTAAAAAAGTTAAATCTGGTCCTCTGGACATTCAAAAAAACAAAACAAAGCAAATCAACAAAAAATGTAGAAACGTTTCGTCTCTCATCCGAGAGACTTCCTCAGTCTGAGGAGCTGTATTCAGCTCAGTCTCTTAAATAGCACCGTCTCAGGGTGGATCAACCAGTTTTGCTGCTGACAACCAAAACCAGCTGATCACATGCTCAAGAAGGACCATCAGCATAACAATGGATCATTAGCACACTGATGGCTGTTTACTGTTCACAGAGGGCTGAGTGATACTAGCAATAACCGCATTGTAAGAGGGGGACAGTTGAACCCGGAGGCCTCCACCCCTGTTTAATGATGGACGGTTTCTTTTCACAAAGATGGCCTCCTTTA